TTTAACGATTAAATTATGAATATCAATACAATATTATTTACGAATTAACTTGTTAACAAAATTGAACATAACTACTATTATATTTTTAAAAAAGCAGTGATTTAAAACATTACAATTATAATAGTATTTATACTGTGCTTTGATATAATAAATTACAAATTGGTTACTCGTATGTTATGATGTAAAAATTATTATAATATTTACGACCAAATTGATAACATAATTTGTCGTAAAAAGTACAACCCCAATACTTTTCCAACAAAGTTCAGCGTAACGACAAAAAAAAAATAGTAATTATTCAACAACTGCAGTAGGTCTAATTGACCTAATTGAGTAGCTCTTTCATTAAATGAAAATGAATTTGTGATTAAAAGTAATATTATTATAAAATCATCGATACTTTATTTTTATTATTAGGTTAGATTATACCTATCGTGTTTTTTTTTTTTTATTGCAGTCTGCTCTCGCTTGACTGATCCTACCTACGTATTATCTTTATAATTGCAAAAATGAAATATAAAGAAAAATTTAAAACAACTTTGTAATTTTATACATTAAAAAATAAAATGTTTACATTGAAAATCAAAAAGTTCAAAAGGATTTTATTTGTATACGTACACCCACACATTTTCAATTTACCCTGAATAGAAACATGAAATTATAATAAAGTGGTAATATTAATATAATTATAATAATAATAATAATTAATACATATAATACGAAATGTTATGTCTGAAGTAGTTTTGCGACTACCCAAAGAAGCACTAATATTACATGCAATTGCAACTTGGAATTGAAATGAAATACAAATCATACTGTGATACATATAATGTGCAATCTTAGCGGTATTTTATTTGAAACAGTTCATATTGTGTATAAAAAATTGTTTTCTTTTAAGGAGGTAGAATAATAATATGCGCAGACAGGATGGTGAAATAAATCCAAAAAAGTGCAAGTTGTATTGTATTCATACAATATTTTTGTACGAAGGTCGTTGTTGACGTTATTGTATTATTTTCTCGACGGTTTTGAAAATAATTTATTCGAGTATTCTAAATACCTACGTACAAAAGGCTGCAGTGAACAATAAACAAAATCAAATTTAAATTTGAAAAGTAAAAGACGCGCAATACCAATGGTATTTAATCAGTATATTTATTTAATATTTTATATTTAAATAAATGTTACATTAATGGAGTCGCTATTATATTATTGTTATTTTCATCAAATCAGACATAAATAAAAATATATTTACAAAATGATTCTCCAAACATGCTTATCCCCATGTTTTCGTTTAATAAAAAATAATTTATTCAAATTCTGATTTTCAACATTTTTAATTATACCTACTCTACAACACGTGTTCAAATTATTGAGTTTTTTTTCTACTACTCAATGGATGTCCTGTGGCATTACTAATTTCAGTTTTTTAAACGATATCTCTCTTTTTTACTGTATATTATTTGGTAGACATTATTTTTTTTGGAAATGTTGATTTAGATATCTAATTCAAGTATTCTAATACGTAGATTTTCAAATGCTTAAATGTTTATATTACGGATAATAGTCAATGAAAATGGTTTTAAAATTATATAAAATAGAACATGTAATATTGGATTTACTACTTATTATACTTAAGAGGATGCTACCCGCGAGTTTGTTGTCTCCGCCTTACCAACTTGCGACATGGCAAATTTTCGTTCGCTAGTTTGAATAGTGTGCCATTAGTTTTGATATTAGAGTGAATAAGTAATACCAAACTTTTAAGTAACAACATTATCTATGCTCAAGCGTCGGTGGATTATCGAGATTTTCATTTCCAAGCAAGATACGAGTATGTCAAATAATACAAATCAAAAATGCTCATATTTCGCTTGAAAATAAAAATATCCAAAAATCAGTCGACGCTTAAACACAGGTTATGTTCCGACCTGAAACTTTGATAATGGGTCAATTCACACTAATATCAAAACTGGCAGCACACTATTGAAACTAGTGAACGAAAATGTTCTATGTCGTAGGTGTGTAAGACGGAGACAACAAATGCATGGGTGGCGTCCACTTAAGTCATTTTTTAATAAACGTTACTAAAACATTTTAATTACCATTATAGCCCCATATATCTTCCAAACCCACTATCATGCAAGTACTTGTATTATCCTTAGTACGTACACTAAGTAAAATAACTCAACAACTACTTGTTCGAATTATGATTTAGGTATGTCTAAATTATCCATCAATAATCACATCTGAAAAACAGAAATTTGAGATGCCACCGAACACTCCTGAAGTAGTACAAAAAAAAAATCCCAAAGATTTGAAAACGATATGGTGTTTAAATGTACCTATTTGAAAATTCCAAAAATCAGAATTTAAATAAATTTATTATTGTAGGAAAAATCGGCGTACGTAGGTACTCTAGGTGAATCACTTTGTATACAAAATATAAACAGGTACATGTACACTATGAAATATGTGAGCCAGCGTTGATTTATAATTGTTCCACTTTGAAAGGAAAAAAAAGCGAGCTTGGGAAATTCTTATTCGTCATTGGTGATCTGCACATCTACGTATAGCGAGGTGGTACTCGAGTCGATCGTATATTTTGCATGTGAGTACAACTCCTTCAACATCCGTATATTATTATGCACATACCGAGTCCTGACCGATTATCGTGTGCAGGAAAACTGTCAGCTAGATTATACGCCAGTGAGTAGTGATCGCGTCGAGTTGAAAATGAAAGAAAATCGTACAACGTGAGTAGGAACCCGGGGTTTAAAACGTCATGAAATGTATTTCCTCGGAATACGTTTTCATTTATCACACCTCCAGAACAAGACTGCCATAGCTCAAAATGTATAGTTTTGACAAAAGGCGATTTGTAGTTTGAATTCAACTCAAATACTTGCAAACATTATATTATACTTTGCAAATAAGTCTTTTTCGATTATTATGAAATATGTACGCTCTCTTTAACCCAAAAAGTTAGAGTCGAGACTTTTTACGACTTTTATTTTGCTATATTTCGAGATGTGGCTGTATCGCATACAGAAATTGATTTTGAGACAGCCATAAACTAAAATATGGCAGTATTGAATTTCATATTGTGTGTGAAATATCACAAATTATAAAATGCAATACCTACCGCCACAACTCTAAATATTACTGATTTTAGCTCTACATAATATCACACGATAATTAGTTTTTATTTAGTGCAGGAACGCCACAAGCCGTAATGAGGCAGTCCTCAAATTTGACTTCAGTGATTAATTGGATAAATTAAAATAAGTATAATGCCTCAAATTAAGTATGGCTCTCTTTCTTCGAAAAGTAGTTACAAATCAAATAATTTAATACGGACACGTCTTTTTAGTGGCTAAATGAAAAACTATATTGAATGTGGCGTTCTTCCATTGTATAGAGTTATTTGTTCACTATTCGAAAATGTTATAACTCAAAGTTGATGAATTTTGATCTGTGGCAGTATTGTTCTAGAGATGCATTATGTGAAAAATAGAAATAAATCCTAACCTAAAGAAAAACGATATTTTAATATCTAGTTGTTTACTCGGATAGAGAGAACCTAAAACTATGCTTGTTTTAAAAAAACCAAGTTAAACAACAAAAGTACAATGTAGAAGTTTCTTTATACACGATACACCTATATAAAACAATTTAAACATAAACCATGTTAAAAACTGTTATGACGTAGGACATTATAACATATTTTAATTATAAATAAAGAAATGCTGATGTTTCTTATTTATTAGTTAGTATTTGTTAAATATTAATTAATATTGTTTGATAATTATTTCAAATTATAATATTATATTAATTATGCAATTGTTGTACTGTCATTGCTTAGTATTTGTTTTAATTATTAAGTCACAACAACAAACGGAAAATTCGCATAAACTTAATACTGCAGTCTGCAGTGGATTTATATGAATTGATGATTACAAGCAAACAGTTGCGTCATTTGAGAAGATGCGTTGCGTAAGCTTATGCGTACGTAAAATTTATCAAGATTGCATTTTGGCCCGAATATAATATTAGTCTGCGGCAGGCAAAAATAATCTTTTTTTTTAAATATGTCTTAAGTATTGACAACTATGTCCAAGTGATATTATTATTATATTGACTGTTGCAATGACTTACGAAATATAAAAATGTTTGTGTTATATTGAACATTTGATGTGTGTCTGAAGATTTCAAGATTTGTTTTGTATACAATGTTTTTAGGTACGATAGTGTTTATAAATATTTGAATTAAAGTAATTTATGTAAACTAACTAAGCATTATTAGATGGGAAATATACCTAAAGGTCCCAATTTTCGAGCGAAACAAGAAAAACATTTTTTGTAATAACTCTACAGTACATATATATCAGGAAACCAAAAAAATGTTTGGCCTACCTAGTCAAAAACTTGAACTGACGCCCCTGACATTAACTCGATCATTTGGCTCAAAAAATAATGAAAAATAATAAAGACCCAACTCATAAGTGGTTAGTCATAACTAGTATCTGATAAATGTATGAGTTTATGACCATTAAATATTTTTATTCCTGAACTGTGATTATCAACGTTAACAAACATTCACTATAATACGAGTAGATGTTTGTTATGTGCAACCATCTAAATCAGGACACTTGTGAACAATATATTTTATTTTCAAAATTGCATTGAAATATTTCGTGAATGGCGAAACTTTAAATTTTGAAATACTATTTCAACTGAACAATACATTTCAATATACGTGACGACTGTTCGTCATTATTACTGCGTAACGTTTTATTATACATATATTTTTATCATTTTTGAACGGTAAAACAGTATCATAGGTTCCAGTATCATAATAATAATAATATTTAAATTAACTTTTAGTTTCCTCGGCTCATCCGTATTCAAGCGTGTGCTTGTGTTGGATGAACTTTCAGCTTGTTCGTCGTATATTATATTTCTGTGTTTGTATTTATTTTTTGTTGCAATAAATTATATTATAATATTATGTTTAAGATTAAATCCGTACCACCGTCGGCGTACGTCTCCGACCCGTAGCCGTCTTGCAGCCCGTTGGCCCAAGTCCCTTCGTACTTGGCGTTGGTCGTGGCCGACTGTCTGACACCGTACCGGCCCTTGAAACCTTGTGTCCATTCTCCTCTGTACAACCACCGACCCCGGGACTCGACGCCCAACCCGTGTCTCTTGCCGTTCTGCCATTGACCCTCGAAAGTGTTACCGCTGCAAAAGACAAACCGCATAGGTATTAATGAAATATATTGTAAGGTTTATTTCGACTTTTGTCTATGACATATATAGTCCACAGACCGTGATAATAATATCGTACCGATGTGTACACCATATCGGTGGACACGCCTAAAATACTTTATTATGCATTAATAGTGTAACCCACCCTGTTCGTCTTGGCACTCGGCAGCCGTTACGATTTAAAAAATAAATTAAACAGTGGTCCGAAAACTTTACTATCGGTACCTAGTTTTCGGACCACTAATTTTTTTTTGATATCCTTAAGGTTGCCAAGATTAACTGGTAGTAGTTATTGTTAGCTTACTACTTATTAGTCGCAGTCGTCTGCAGCAACTATATACAATCGACAAATTTCACCGATAAGCGATCGTGTGATATCCTACTATACTGCTATAACAATACAATAATAACATCATTGTTGTGGGATCCATGTTAAAGTGAGACTAGAAGCAGATATAGAACAAGTTTGAAGTTTCAAGCACCGCTGTATTATTATTATTTTTTGAAAGCCCAGAAAAAATATTCGAAAAAAATTAATTGAAACGTGAATATACCAATTGAGGTAGGTATATTATTTTTAAAAAAATATGTGTATATTATGTATTGTTATAAAATAGTTCTATGAAATACCATATATTTTAATATGGCATACATTAAATTAATTTTAGAAACAAATAAAATTATGATATTTTATTGTTGTAATAAAGGTAATGAATAAATGAATATTTATAGGATTATAATTATTACTATTTAAATAAATAATAATATTATTATAAACTGTAAATTAGGTAACGAGTCTATAAATAACATTATAAAGCCTTTAGTATGTTCAATTTTGCTATAAAACCTATATATTTTAATATAGCCGGTACCTAATAAGTGGTTAAACCGTTACACATTGTTTGGTTTTTTCCAAAAAAATGTAAATCATTTTTAACTATACAGTGGTGATAAGCCAAGAGGATGGAGAAACATTTTTGTTTAAGTTCTTTTAATTCGTGATATATTCAACATATAGGACTAAACTCACGACCTCCAACACTACCAGTCATATTTATATGAGCGCCAGAGTTTAAAACGTTTCCACAACACTAAAATATGCAATTTATTTTATAATATTAACTATTATTATACTTTTTGTAATATTTTGTAAATTGGATTTATTTCAGTAAAAAAGTATACTATTGTTATTTTAACATAAAAAATATATTACCTATTTGAAATGTAATTGTATATAAAACCAATTTAAATAAAAACAACTATGTATATTTGAGTGAACATGTTATGTTGTGTACGTAGCAAAAGCTTTAAAAACATGGAGCTATTGTTTGTTCTTTTTTTATATATGAAATAAATTAGTAATTGTTTACTTGCAATTTTTTTTTGGACCAACAATAATTGAGAAACACGTCATGGTATAAAATAATACTATCGTCTATATTATATTATCTCAATTGTAATATTTTTGTATAATAATTAAAAAGGCGACGAAGAACTGAACAAGTTTCTTTTGAAAACAAAAATTCACAAATGGATTTCTTTTATATATAATTATATTTTATTCATGGCGATAGAACGACATAAAATATCACGAAATCCCTCACTTTCATGCAATCATTTTCACAAGGTTGAGTATAAAAATAATTATTTGACACATTGCATTCAAATGTTATTTTATTTTTTTTATGTTTTTTACTAAATAATAACATTTTTGTTCGATTAGTTTAAGCAAATGTTTACATCTTAACATTTTAAACAAGATAACAGAGAAGAATGAACTGAAAAAGACTCAAAAGATATTTTTTTTTATTGAATTAATGAATTTTATTATTAATTAAGAACAAATAATAATGTATAACATAATAATATAATAGGGAAATTATTTGAAATCAATGTAACGTAAATATTTTAGACCATTCAAATAATTAAACAGTAGGTTTTATTTACGTCGTATAGTTTTGAAAAAATATTTTCAGGCAATGAGTTGTAAATATAAATAATAATAATGAAAAAAAAATAATAATAAGAGAAAATCGGCTTAGGAGCCTAAAATTTGACAAACATACTATGGCGTAATGTAAATTGTATGACACAAAGAAATTCTAAAATATAAATTGGAAAAAACAACTCATAAGTTCCACATCTAAAATGTCCAACAAACATCGAAAAAAAAGTAGGCTATAGAGTATTATAAATGTATAATATTCTGAAATGTTGTAAAGTTAGGTTAGTGTAGCCTAACCTACAAACATGAAGACATATTATTTTGTGTACCCACTTACAATAGTATACGATTTTCTTCGAATAATCATTAACAATAACAGACAACGGGCCCGTATCATAATATTCACTATTATATAATAATACTAAATTCAATAACATTGAACATATTTAAAACCCGTAAACGATTTTTACGAGCAATTAAAGTTTGACGAAAAATAAACGTTCAAAAAACAACCTCGCGCAGAACGGTTTGTTATCGCTTTCAAAATAAAAATAATAATATTGCAACTCCGGCTTTCCACACCGAGATGGACGAACGACATGTACCACCAGGCTTCCTAAACAATAACAAATTCATATAATCCTTTAAAATGTAATTGCTCGCAGAATAAAAATATTAATATTGTGTACCGCGACCACCCCATGGTATATTTTTGATAAAATTTAACTGGAATTTATTTTTATTTATTTTTATTATTATTATTGTTGCGAGCATAAACTATACAAGTATAGCCTGTAACTGGAATTATTGCTATGTTGATGTCATTAAATTGTATACACTTTCGAATGATGCGAATAGGCTATATGTTGATTTTACTACCCTGATTTTATTTCTCCGAAAACACTTTTATGGAGCCGTAAAATTGCTCTAAAAGCTGAACGCGGTGTAATGTCAACATCACTATCGATTGGAAAGTGAACTCATTTTATAGATACAGATGGTTCTTTGTATGGGGTAGGGGTACTCATGCAAATTGTCGTGTGTTGTAAAAAATTACTACATTTATAACTGTACTAATGAAAATACTAATTTAGATAAAAAGTGAAAATTCTATAAGAGTAACTATACTGATTTTAATTGTTTTGTTTTTGACGTTAATGGCTTCAGGACCAGAACTTTAACAGAAGTCTGCGCATCTTTTGATGTCAAAATCAAAAATGTAGCTTAACGGTACAGAAACATATTATCAAAAGTTTGTACTTTGTACATCATTTAAAATTAAAATTTAATTTACAAATATTTTACATATTTTCTACATCCTTTATTCCTTTACTGAGATGTACATATTTAGAAAGTATACGCCTTTCAGGTAAATTTGTATGAAAGTTTCTTTGTAACAATATCCTTTTCCAAAAAATAGTTTAAATACTCATATTATCTCCGGTTTTATTTTCGAATACATTTTCTTAAATATTTCTTAATAATTCTGTTAGCCAGGGGGGCTTCGAAGTTTGACTATTATTTCTCACATTGATGATCTTTATTCGAAATAAATGTATTGTAGTCCAACATAATATACAATATTATTTACAGTTATATAAGTTTTAATATCATTCAAGTATAATGTTTTTAGTGCACAATTTAGAAGGTTATTACCATATATTTTTTTTTATTTATGATGACACATTTTAATATAAAGGTCGTATTAAGGTCATGCAAGGTCCTTACAATATAATAACACCGAGTATTTTAATTACAAACCAAATTAAGGGGTATATTTTCAACTGATATGAAGATTATTTTGTAATTTTTTTTCAGTCTTTACATGCACCACAATAAACCCGAATTTAAAAAAAGATAATTCACACACAACATAATATTATTATGTGTTAATCGTTAGCGATGTTTGATTTTTATTCTGGGTTAAATCTGGTTTAGCGATTTAGCTTGTTTCAACTCTACACCCGAGCACAGCTTTAATACCGAAAGTGCGAACTTTTTGAATTATTCAAACGTTAAACTGTGCAATAGTGGTAAAGGTACCTATAGACGAGAAGTTTGGAAATATCGTCGAGTAAAATAACAGCCATTTAAAATGAGTCGTTTGTCGGCGGTGGACGGTTGCTGCGGTATATAAAGCACGTTTCGAACTTTTTTTATTCTTCACAAATCCCCGCATTCATTCGGGCCAATTTTAAGGGGCCGATTTTTATTTTTTATTTGAAGAGGAGTTCAATATAATGGCCGATATTACAAGTGCGTGCGGAATAAAATATTATGATCGTTATTATAGGGCGAATCGTCGTGTGCGATCCACTTCATCTCGAGCACGGCGCACGCTTATAAAACATTTTAAAGGAGCTGAGCTCGAAAATATATATTTTCGCTTTATGTTAACATTATATTGAATCCGGTCCCTTTAAAAAAAAAAAAAAAAAGCCCGCTTACATTATTTTGCTTTATTTGTTTTCGGTTTTCGTGAAAAACTCAATTTTAAATCTGAACAATGGGATCAGTAAACACGATAAGACGCGATTTAAGAAACAGACGGAATAAAGTATCGTCAAATGTTATACTATATAACTGTAGAAAATGTATATTGTATTATCCTTTATTAAAAAAATGCATTGTCAAAAAATAGAACATAAACCACACGTCCCGCGTGTTGTGCAAAACTGATGAAAAAATTCACATATTCAGCTCAGCTGTATTTTTTGTGGTGTTTAATTTAAATTTCCAAAACCTTTTGGATTTCTCACACTGGACAAAACGTTTGGAAAATCAATTTTGAATTACGATAAAAAAATGTCTTTATGCATTATTATAAAAAATAACTAATATGAGATTTATCCCTTCAAATAGGATGGGGTGACGAAGAAGTAATAATTGAATTAAGAATCAATCTAATTTGAATGACATCAAAAAGAAATTCCGGCTTTGAAATAAAAATTAATAAATATACCTACGTCGTGCAATGGAACTTTTCAAGTTGGTATGAAATGGCGAAGCAGCAATTTGTCGAGTACGA